GAAAGAAATTAAATTAATCAGATAACATGATAATGACAATAACCATAAAGTTTCTTTTTTAATGGATGCGCACTTGGGGTCAAATTGGAACAGTGATTGGCTTCGAGCAAGAAGAATGAATGATACACTTACAAAACTGTGTTCGTTTTCTTTACTCCCCTGAACGGCCTTCCAGTAAGATTAGCAAATACGTTGTCGTTTAAAAACCTGCAAATAACATAAATCACAGTGTACATTTTTATTGTGATCGTAGCTATGCTTATTACAGGACGACTGTGCAACACTAAAATAAAATGAAAAATAAATAAACTAAAAAAGAAAAGAAATCCAATCCGCGCAAAAATTGCAAGAAGACTACCACTGAGCGGCGAGGAATATTTGCTACTGAGGGATTTCGAATGTGCTTATTTTCTTAAATATTCATAACTTGATAATGACAAACAAGCATTTCAAAAAAAACTTACACATTTCGAGGAGACATTCCAGTGAAGACATCGTTAGGAAGATGACTCAGTTTGTTTTTGAAAAGGAATCTACCGATTAAAGACTTGTTTGCATTGGCATTACGAGAAACAAATATATCTATTTTTTCTCGAATGTCTTTTTTTTCTTTAACTAACATCCTCGGGAACCCAGGGGTAATCTTCTGTCGTTCGTTCCTCACTACCAGAAAAAATAYCYCTGGGCACGATGTCTGTTGACCTTGTTCTCGATTCGAAATTCAAAATGGCGGCCGGTAAGTTAATCAACCAATCAGAATATTCGAGTGAATCACTCGACCAATCAGAAACTTACCGGCCGCCATTTTGAATTTCGAATCGAGAACAAGGTCTAACAGACTTCGTGCCCAGGRGTATTTTTTCTGGGAGTGAGGAACGAACGACAGAAGATTACCCCTGGGTTCCCAAGGATGTTTAACTAATAACGATTTAAAGAAAGTATTTAGAATAAAAATTTAGAATAAAAATTGAATCGAATACTTACGTTAATTTTTATTCTAAAGTCTTTTTATTTTCAGATAAATAATCCTTCCCATAAAAGATAGACTTACATTCCAATCAGGCTGGTCATACCATCAAAGCTCCCTTTTTCGATGACTTCAATTTCATTATTTTGTAAAAACCTGTTAATTATCAAATGATACAATTAATC